TGAGTTATTTTATCTTAAAGGATTCTAATGCCACAATGAAGTAGTTTATAGAACTTTGATAAGCTTATAAATAGAGTTATAACAACACTTATATCTTCTATTAGCTTTTCTACAATTGTAAGTTGGTTTGCAAGTACCTTCATCTTATTGATGTGTGCCATAAATTCTTCAACTTCTTTTATTTTACAAGTGAAGAATTTTTTTTTATATAGAGAATATCAAACAAGTTATGTTTCTTATAGATATTTCAAAGAATCTTTTATTCTTTTAATCATTATTTGCAAGAAATAATGTGAAAAAAATTAGCTCTATCAACATTGAATGTAATTAATCTAAAAACTTTCTTCTCACAATGTGTATTCTACTTCTCTTGCATATTAGCATGCATTCTTAGAGGCTCTTTACTTTCATCTATAATATTCTATAAATCCAAAGTAAAAAAAAAAAAAAAAAAAAAAAAAAAAATACTTTTACATTCTAATGGTAGAAATTATCACCTCTAAACTTCTCAATGACCATCAAGTCTTCACATTCATTTGAAATCATGACCAAAAAAGAGATGAATTAAAAGGTATTAAGAGAAGAAATTCTAAAGCTTTCAAAAATTAATAAGAAAGTGTTATTATTTTAAAATCTTATAATGCCTTTTTTTGTAAATAAATTATTTTTTTTCTTCTAAAACACTCTCAACTTCACTTCTAAGATTTTTGATAAGTCATAAGAGCAATACATATGTGTAAAATCAGATTTACTACTTTTAGCTCTTTTCTATGCTTAAAAATTATTTCTTAGCACCATAAGAAGTCTTTTAAACACCTTAAGCTTCTTTGACACTTTAAATTATAAAATTAATCCATGAAAGATCTAATTCAACAAGAAATCAAAATATAAGTATTTTAAAACATCTATTTTAGATGGAAAATAAGCACCGAAATGAAAATGCACTTAATTATAAGTAAATAAAAATTTAGATCTAAATCTAGATTTTATTTTGAAATTTAAAAAACTCTAAATTCTAACATCAATAAGAACAAGATATTATACTTTCTATAATAATAAATACTTTAAAAAACTTCAAAAAATTACAAACAACTATCATTGGATCCATAACCTACAAAAAAAAACGAAGTAAAAAGTCTTTATACATAATATCAATAAGATTGCATGCAAAAATAAGTATAGAATAAGTTTTTTTTTACTTCTAACTTCCTTTGTTTATAAGAGAGGGTTTACATTTGAAGTAGATAAATTTCATCTATAATCATTTTCATTATAATTTATTTCATTCAACCAAATCCTAGATTCTTCTTAATTGAGCAACCATCCTAATAACTTTTACTAAGTCTTTTCTACCTTTTGACCATTATCAAATTTTTTAAGGTTAAATTCTAAATAGTAATAATCAATTCTAAATTTACTAATCTTTAATATTATAAGAATTATACTTAATTAAATTTAATATTTTTATACTTAATATCTAATTTTATAAATTTTTATTTTATTTATTATTTGATAAATTTATTCTTATTAATACACATATATATTTAAAGAAAAAAATTAAATATTTATATATATTATATTATTATAAAAAAATAAAAATAATACATAAAATATACTAGATATTATTTTTGAAATAATCTTTTATATTTATATAATTTAAAATGATTATAAAATAATTTTCAATCATTTAATAATAAAATAAAATAATATTTTTTATGTAAGTAAAAAATATTAACATAAATATTTATATATTTTTTTAAAAATGTGTAATTTTTAAATATATATAAATATTTATATTAATTTTTATTTAAAATTATATTTTATTAAAATCATTTATAAATTAAATTATTTGATAATCAATCTTGTATTAATACACATATCATTTGTAAGACCTCAATTAGAAGTGATTTTGCTAGAATACTAACCTTTTCCACAAGCTTCTATAAAGATATTCTACAAAAAAATTAAGGTATTTTATTGCAATGAAAAGTCAACAAATAAAAATACATATCAAAATAAATAAAAATAAAAAAGATAAAAACATAATTTAATCAATATTTTGTGTTAAGATAACATTCTTCTTGAAGAACTCATCATTTAATCTAATGCTTTGATAAAGTCCTTTGCATATAATATCTATTTGCTTACATATGCTATTATATTTTAAAACAATGTTTTTTGGTAAATAACACATATGTTATTAGCATCTTACTTACTAAAACCTAATTTTATCTATTTAAATTTTTTCAATATTCTAACAAGTATGCAATGTTTAAACTATTTCAATATATATATATATATATATATATATATATATATATTACTTACATAAAAAATAGTAATGTATAGCCAAAGTTGGAATTTTTTTATTACTAATTACTTTATTTTTAGTATTTTTTTCACATGATCATAAATTCTGGTTTAAAATCTAATAACATAAAAAACACAAAATATTTTATTTTCATATATTAGTTTTTTTTTAAATCTCAAAATATTTTTTTCTACTATAAAAGATTTATTCCTATCTATCAATCTTGGCTATGTCATTATTTCTATCTAAGTTGTTATTTTTATGTGTTTTACATAAATATGCTATTTCTATTAATTATATTTTTTAAAAAACATGAAATATTTATCTTTGAACAATATAATGGTACTTATGTAGCCATAAAAAATTTTAAAAAAATCTAAAATTTTTATACAATTTTTTTTAGTATATATATATATATATATATATATATATAAAGCAAGAGTGAGAGAGAGAATTATTAGTGCTACATCTCCAATTGATATTGCTACACCCCAGGTGACCTCCACATGACTTAAATTGACTAAAAAGCACGCTTATATGCTTAGGATACATTTGACAGCCCAATATTTAACTTCAAGATTTATCCAAAAATAGATTTTATATATATATATATATAATGGCACTTTTTTTAATTAAAAAATGATTTTGAATTAAACATTTTTGAAGAAAATATTATAATTTTTTAAAAGAAAAACTTGTAATTTACTTTTTTCATAAAATATTCATTATCTCCCTCTTAACCACCATCTTTTCTTAAAGCAAAAATAATGAAGCATATTATTAGCTAGTTGTCTATAAGGAAGTCACATGAGATGTAACAATATCAATTGGAGATGTAACCTTTACAATTTTCTTATATATGTAAATATAATTTAAAAATCAACTATAAACTCATCTCCTAGCACAAATAGATCCATAACCCATGTCTATATGTCTCATCTTTGTTAGAAGACCTATCCACCCTGTAAATTTGACACTATAGCTTCAATATATATACTACCTTGCCTCCATATTCACACACAATCTCATATATTTCTACATTCTTCTACTCATATATACTTTGAAATATTAAAGCCATGTTTATAAAAAAAAACATTGTGTAACTTTTTAACACAAGTAAACATTTGAAATCTGAAAGTCCTCAATAAATGATTTTAGAACCACCAAATCACTTTTACAGGCACCTTTGATTTAGACTTATTGCAAAAAAGAACTAAGTTATGCAATTTAGTCAGATAGAAGTATTTGAAAAAAATCATCTAATTGAAGACTATGCCTCAGCATAAAATGGTGTAGAAGTGTTTGATTTTGTTAAATTTTATATTTATTATAATTCTTTTTATATCTTGCAAAATTATTGTAGCATATCAAACCACCCTGTCAAATTAAATGTATTTAAGTTCTTAATTTTTTTACGCATGGTAGATAATTAGAGGATTCTTTTAATTATTTTATATCTCCTTTTTATTTTTTCCCATATAAATTTTATGTTCTTTACTATATGATAGATACTAATGCTTTTTTTCAAGGAAATATTTACTTCCAAAAAGAAAGAACTAAAATCAAACTAGAAAAAACCCAAGAAAGAAATATCTATAATCTTACTACTTGTAACAGTTAACTCATAGTTATATATATACATATATATATATATATATATATATATATTCAACAAAAAAAAACATTTTTTCAACATCTTTTATCAAGTGAAATTGTTACTGTAACAAACATATTGGTTAGAAATCAGATGCAAATGAAGTTATTTTTACATTTTGGAATAAAATATTAAATTATGAAATATATTTGAATATATTTATGAATTTCACTCACATCCAATTAATGAGACCCTACCCATTTTTATTTTTATTTTTGGTGTAAGATTTAAATATGACAAAGAGACCCTTATGAGAGAACAATCATTTCATCATTCAAGTAAAATAATTTACATTGAACAAAGATATTTACATATAAAACACCATCACTATTTAAGATGAACTTCTCATTTATTTTGTGCTTCAGGTTTGTGTTATGCCTATTTGTTATTCAGTATAGCTTATCCATGGACCAATAAAATTTTGAAACTGAAAAGTTATATATATATATATATATTAAAAAATTTAGAAAATAGAGAACAGTAATTTAATTAGGATTTTTAAGCCGGTGAAAAGTGTAATCTAGGTCCTAATAAAATACAGCCATAATTTATAATGAATGAGTAATTCAAATGGACATTTAAAAATACATCTAATTAAATTATTTTTTAAATACAAATACAGCATTTGATTATATATTTCAAGATTCAAGCCACACAATTAAGCTTGGTGCATACAAATTAAATCCTATGTTTCTTGTAATACCTGTACCCCGAGATTCCAGCATGTTACTCAATTTTTTTTTGTTTACTTCTTTTTAAAATTTATAATGTGCAGATGAATAGATAGGTAGGTAGATAAATTCACGCAAATACACATATTTCATTCAAACACTCATACTATGCTATTGAGGAGATCAACCACTATTTTCTTACAGACCCAAGTTGGCTTACTTGGATGCCACCTTCCTTTGTTTTGTTTGACTCATTTAGTTGACGTCCACAAATACATCACACCCTGCTAAATATAAAGGAAGGAAGGGATATAATGACCTCGTCAATTCTGCACAGAATCGTCGGTGCTTGTGTGTTTCAAAACAAACTGTTTTGTTGCCATGTCCGTTCAGATCGTAATGAAAAGCTTCATGGCATGAGGAACTGCTAACTGGGTTACATGCAGAGATCGAGAGAGAGCGTGCGAGAGTGAGAGCGCATCAGTAATGACGGAGCAGAGCCGCTGTGCAGCAGGGACAGTGGAGACCAAGGGATTGCATGCCGCCACAGCAGCCAACATGGGCACTGCACATCGTGTACGTTCTGAGGTGGGGAGACGGGGAGTTGGGCGAGGGACCAGCGTTTGCCGCGTCTCACGCGAAGCTGACTAGTGCGTCTTCTCGGGAACGCCGAAGTTGTTGGAAGTTTTTGTTGCGCAAGTCACGCGGGGAGACAGCGAAGCGACGTTGGGATGATGCTAATTTAGCGTTTATGACGCGTGACTGATACTCGTGGTTGGTAGTTGGTTACCCCTTTGCTGAGCCCGGATTACACTTCCGCCGGTTATTCCATATCCCTTCTGCAGAAAGTTGGCATGGCCACAGAGAGAAGTGTGGGTTTAGCAACTAGGGCGGGTAAATTCGTAAACGCAACCCAATGGTTTTATGGTTGTAAACCTCGCGGAAACAGGCGCGTGTTTGCAAATCGGTAGTACGCATGCACGGGGCTTCTCACCTACCATGCCATATCGAGGTAACGCTTTCTCTCAAACTCTGGTTTCACGAAGTGCTTGTTTAATTTAGTCGGCAAGAATCGGTGTTTGTCGCACCAGGCTTTGTGAATCTGACCGTGGCTTGTGTAATTACGAAAATGTCTGCACCGTCTTGGCATCCGAGTCGTAGAAGATGCCTTGAAACCAATAGGGAAGGCGGGCCGGTTTATTATCCAAGTGGATTAGCGCCATGCTTGTTCCATTGTCGGATGATTCATTACAAGCACTTTCCGTTACTTACGGCTACCCAGTTCACAGCTCCGGTGGAAAGTTGGTGCGGCGGAATCTGCGGATAAATAACAATTTTCTTATTTTTATAAATTAATTTTTGATGTGCGATAGACATGAACAGACACGTTTGATCGTTACCCTGGCTGTGGACTTTTAGACACGATTCCTCCCTCCTCCTTGCCCAAAATAGGCACGTCTCCACAACAGCTTTTATCAAGCTGTACATCCCCACACTTTACCCAAATTCTTGCTCTGCCGTGCACTCCGTGAGGTCCTTCTCTGACTACGTTCAGTCTGCATGCAATCTGGTTTAGATGGCGTCCACCTTCTCTAGGCTTCGGAACTTGTATCTAGAAGTTTTCGGTCATTGTGATAGTCTGCTTTACCTCCACTAACAGCTCTTAGATGAATTCTGCACCCTCTATTACTCTTTCAATACTCTTGCATTCCCCTTTCCTACCGACAGAGAGGAAAATGAGGTTTTACACTCTTCCACATTCTACTCTGCGTTGGGTTGTGTTTCTTAAGTGTTAGTTTACGAGGCTATCATCTGTGATTCTTCTCTGGGGAGTGATTTCTGATGTTCCAAGTTTCAGCGGTGGTTGACATGGAGCAAAAATCGCCGGTTATTAGACCTTTTTCATCCGTTTGTTGTTTGGGTAGTTTCTGACGGGATTTGGAAGAGGCAGTAGGCAGTTCATGGATGCATTTGCCGTGGATATGCACTGGTGCTTAGTTTGAGTTGGAGCAGGCAAGCCGACTGGGTGGTCAAAACCTCCAGCAGAGTAGTCGGTAGGCGGTTTTACGAGATTCCGGAGCGCTTTCTCAAGTGTTGGAGGTTTCGCTCCAGCGACGCATCTTCTGGTGGGTGCCTTGCTCTTGCTCTTCAGGGTCTATTCTCTTCATGAATTTCGCAATCGCAGTGAAGAATGGTTAACGTCAGTCGTGACCTCAACATGAAATTTTCAGTTAGCGCTTTGTTCTGGGAATCTTTCTGAGCCAGCTCTGTGAGAGCTGACTGGTCGTTTATGCTTCATTTCTAATCTTGAACTAGGACCTCTTTACCGGGTGATCAGTAATTTCAAAGATCATCGAATCAGAATCAACATGTATAGCTTTATGAAATATAAATTTTAGTAGTCGTTGGATGTTAGACCATGATTAGGTTTTTGCACTGCAATCCACAGTACAATTTTTCGTTTTGATTGAATCTTCTACTATTTTTCATTCTTACCAATTCTATGGTGGATTGTTTATTATATCAACTTCAATTCTTCAGAGAAAACCATGACTCAATCAGATCAAAACCACATAACTTACCAAATAATAAGAAGTTAAATTTTTAACATGTTCTCGAAAGTAGGTGGCCATGCTTTAATGTAGCATATTGTCGTCAAATATCAAGAGAAACTAATCGAAATTTTGCTCTGTAGCAAAAGATTTTTAGTTGAAAGGTGATGATCGGCGAAATTGCTTGAAAGGCAGGAATAAGTACAATCAAATGGCTTTCAAGCTCAAAAACTTGTTCGGAAGCGGAGGAAGCGGAAATTCAACGCTTCGGGATGAAGCTGAGCAGCAACGGTATCTAGAACTGGAGAGATTGCACGCCTCCACCAGGGCGGCAAAACACTTTCAGAGGGACGTTGTCAAAGCAGTCGAAGGAATCATTAGCACAGGAGCGAAGCAACTCGAGGTTACTACCAAGCTTGCCGAGGATTGTCGAAAGTATGGGTCCGAAGCTCCGAGCGGAATTACCGAGGCTCTCTCCCGAGCGACGTTACAATACAGTTCGGCAAGGAATAGGATGGACACTGAGCGCGACAACATGCACCGAGCTCTGGCTGCTCAAGTGTCGGAGCCCCTGAAGACGATGGTTGCAGGCTCGCCTTTGGTTGATGCTCGGCATCTGAAGCAAAAGTACGACCGTTTGCACGAATCCGCAGATGCTCAAGCTGCGGAAGTCAACAGGAGGAGATCGAAAGAGGGTGGGGGCAATTCAGACAATGCTGCCAAGCTGCAATCAGCTGAACAGAAGCTGGACCAAATCACCGCAGCGATGAACACAATGGGCACTAGCGCCATATTCGCTATGAACAAAGTCGAATCGCAACAGCAAACCGTCACACTTCACAGGATGCTCGCCATGGTTGAAGCTGAGAGAGCTTATTTTCAGACAGTCTGCAGTGTTCTGGACCAGCTTCACGCCGACATTCAGTCCGAGGTAAGCATGGCCCCGGCGGAATCGAGCAGCGTGGCGACTGCCCCACCGACTCCTCCGCGTTCTTCCTCCGGCAACGGGAGGAGAGAGCCATACGAAGAGGATCCTCCAGAGATTTTCCAACGCACAAAAAATGTGGCCGATGACGATAAAGCCCCTGTAACCCCTGAATTCCAGAGTTACAAAGCGATTGTGACGATGGATCACGATGGAGTTGACGAAGGGGAGTTGACAATATCGGTTGGCGACGAAGTCCTGGTGCGGCACGAGGACCCATCTGGCTGGTCGGAGGGAGTCTGCAATGGCAACGAGGGATGGTTTCCTTCCTCCTACGTCGAGAGAAGGAATCCTGAGAGGCGACGCCGGCGCCGACAAGCCTCGGGGAGCAGCAATGGCTCTAGATAACAGGAAAACACCGCATCTGCTCATCTCCACCGATACCATCCTCACGTGTCGGTAAACCTCGCCTTGCTTATGCACAATCTCCACCGGCACCCTGCCAATGTGTCGGTAGGTTTCCCGCACTTGTGCACATCTCCACCGACACATTGCTCATGTGTCGGTGGTTTTTTCCATGTGCTTCGCTACATCAGTCCTCTATTCTACAGAGGGCATTTTCATGTGAGGTTAAGAGAAGTATCTAGCGCTTCAGTCCATACGTAAACATATACATACACACACACTCATTTCACGAAGGAAGAAAGTGGCGTTTTATACTGTAATATGTGAATTCAATGAACTGAGTTCTGTGATGAGTTTTAAAAACATGGAGAGACTTCTGAAACATTGAGGGTAATAGAAATGAGGCTCTTCCTTGTGTACCGACAAGAGAGATTATGCCATCTAACTCAAATTTTATTCATGTGGTTGGAATCTAATGTGAGTGTATCGGATTATTTGTTCTCAGTTTTGAAAAATATCTCGAACGAGCGCTGGAAAGTTTTGTGGTTGTGCATTAGAGTGATACTTATTTTTAAGTAAGAATTTTGAACAGTTTGACGTGTATGAGAATTGAAAAACAGGTGAAGTAATCAATTTTTTTCCAACATTGATAAGTGTATTCATTATTATATTTTGAATATAAAAAATGTTTGTGGGCTAGATTTGTTTGATTAGTCTTGACTTTTTTTTGTAAGTATTGGGCAAATTTATATCATTCCTTTATTATATAATATTTTGAAAAAAGTAGTAGATTGTATCATAATATAAAAAAAAATTCAATATATTTTAGTATATTTTTTAAATATACTTTTCAATTCATTGTCCTTTGAAATATATGAAGTTACATTATTTAATTCAAGCATTCTTCATGGTAGAAACTATGTCAAAGAATATCAAATTTATCATTTTTAAAAATAATAAAATTTTATTTTGAAAATAATTAGTGTTGTTGTTATGTTATAATACAATTATATGGTGAAAGATAAAAATATGGGTTCTATTATAGAAACACCTAGTTGAAAGATATAGCAATAAAACATAAATAAAAGATAGATAGGTAGTAAAAACTTTAAGTGTTAATGTTGTCTTTTTGTAAGAAATACTTCTAGTTACTTCATACAACCATAAATAAGATAAAACAAAATTAATTCAAAAAATAAATAATATAGGTATCTTTAGAAATGAGTTAAGAATAGTTTTTAGAAAAAATTACCTTAAAAAAAAAAGAATTGATATTAAGAGAGGATTAGTTTCAAACTAAGGATAAAATCAAACTCCAAGATTCAAAACTATGCACCTTATTGAAGAACAAGGACTATGAAGTCACAACACTTAGCATCAGTAAGGTTGCACACAAAGAGAGTATGGAGTAAGATATCTCTTACTTCCAACACTCAATACTTATAGGTGATGGTTGTTGCTTTAGAAGTCAACTTCCACTCTTTGACTTTTATACAAGTGGTCTTAGGATCCTTTGGTATCTAACTTCTCTTCAGAGTATCTTATGGTCCCAGGATCCTTTGGCATCTAACTTCCTTTGAGAGTATCCTATGGTCCTAGTATCCTTTGGCATCTTAATAACTACAAGGATATTCTATGCCAATATCTAATTACTCTTACTTAGTCTTTGGATATTCTCTAGTTTATATTTTATTCTCTTGACTTTGACTTTTGGTCCTTGACCTTATGTTATATCCACAAGATGTTCCTTTTAACTACCAAAAGTCAATCCTTTGACCATTAGTAACTTATCTAATGTAATATCTTTTACAAGGTAACTTATTCTACTTTTATTTTTACTTACTTACTTTAACACTTTTACTTTGCTATTGATCAAATGCTTTTAATCCTAATGCCTTTCTCAACAAATTAGCAAGCATGTCTTTTGTTGCACAATACTTCATATCAATTACTTCCATTTCAATCTTCTCTCTTATGAAGGATGTTAAATATTAATATGCTTTGTTCTTGAATGATGCTTTGGATTTTTTGCAAATGCAAGACATCCTTGATTGTCACACTCTATTGGCATTGCTTTTATTTGCAATATTCCAATGTCATTCAAAAGTTGTCTTAGTCATATTGCCTCTATTATATCATGGCTTGCTGCCATACACTCCGCCTTTATTATTCACCTTATAATTATTGGTTGTCTCTTGCAATTCCACAAAATAGCTTCTATTCCAACAAAGAATACATATCTCATTGTTAATCTTCTATTATTTATATCTCCAACCTAATTTGCATTACAATAATCATGCAAATTAATGTTATTACCTCCAAGGTATACTTTGAAATACAAAGTACTTTTTAAATACCTCATGATCCTTTTGATGGTTGCCCAATGGATTGATTTAGCCTTTGACATGTCTTGGCTCACAATACTCACCACATATGTAAGATCCACTTGTGTGCCAACCATTGTATACATAAATGAAGTTACTATTTCCTTGTATGAAATACCTTGTATTTCACCTTCAACTTCAGCAAATTCTTCATTAGTGAGCTTCATCAACTTCAAATTGGCCTCCAAAGGTATTCCAATAGGCTAACACTTTTTCATGTTTTCATGCTTGAGTCTATATAAGGCTTTTTTCAACTTACAAATAAGATGTTTGCCTTCTTCTACAAATCCTTAACATTGTTCCATATAAATGTCTTTTTTTAGATTTCCATTCAAGAAAATTGTCTTCACATCCATTTCATGTATTTCCAAGTTTATTGCTGCTCCAATTGAAATAATAGTTCTAATGGTAGTGAATTTGGCTATGAAAGCAAATATCTCATTGAAATCAATACCAGTAATCTATAAGTAGCATTTGGCAACCAATCTAAACTTGTATCTCATAACATTGTCCATTGCATCCTTTTTGGTTCTAAATACTGACTTACAACCAATTGAAGATTGATTTGATAGAAGTTGAATCAATTCCCATGTATCATTACCTATGAGTGATTTATACTCTTCTTCTATGATATTTTTCTACTTTATAGCATCCATGGATTTCATTGCATCACACAAACTCAATGAATTAATAAGAACTACAACATTTGTATGTTCTTCACTTACTTAAGGAAAGATGTAATTCTTCCACTATGCATCAAGTTATTTTCTATCTGTCAAAGGATATCTCTTTTCACTTGATGAAGCTTCACCTTCTTTCATTCTAATATTTTTTATAAGCTTTTTCTCTCTTAAAACTTGCTTCTTTATATTCAAAATTTGATACTCTTCATCATCATCATCATCTTCAACATCCTCATTATCTTCATTGCTAGTTCAAGCAATAGAAGACATACTATGGCCTACCTTCTTTGACTCTTTATCTTGATTTGAATTTCTACCATCATCAATATCATCTTCTTCTTCTTCTTTTTTTACTAAAATTAAAGATGTGTTGTCAAGGACAAGAATACGATAAAGACAAATAAACGAGTGAGACTTCTCTCAAAAAAAGATGAAAAAATAGAAATAAATAGATATATATATTAAGAAAGAAACTGGAATGGCTATTGCCAAAAAGCCAAGAAAAATAGAGATCCTTAAAAATAGACTAGAAGCAAGAAAGAAGTTGACAAGAGTAAAGAAGGCTTTACTCTTGTCTCTATATATACTATCTAACTAGGACTATGTGGCGATGTTCTATAGGACCTCCAATATATGTTGACTTTGTAGGACACATGCCTTGACTTATAAGGTAAGTTTTTCTATGTGTGGGCCACATAGTTAGCTTGGTCTTCAAGCTAACAACATGTGTGGTACATGGCCAACTTATTGACCATGTTTCTAATCCAAAAATTTAATTAAAGACACCTATAAAGTCAAAGCAGTATCTACAAAGCTTCTAGAAAGCTTTTATAGTAGATACTATAGAATTAACTTACTTTTACCTACTTTTATTTACTTCTACCTATTTATACATGTAATTATTGGCTTACATGTGTATGTTCATGACATTACCCCCCTTTCTAGGAACGAGTTCCATGAGGAGTGGTAATCATATGTTGAAAAAATCCATGATGCAACGAATTATATTCACCACATACTCTAATCTTTGTTCTCTTTGAAGATGATTGATAGGGCCTCTCAACTATCGGTAGTGTTTCATACAAGGGCGGGAAGACCACCGAGTTATTTGATCATTGTTGAGGCCTTTATAACTTTCTTTAAATAAAATATTTGGAACACCATCAGGAGTTGTTCCTACCTCTAGCAAAATCACCAAACATTGGGAGTCTCTTTCCAAGTCGTGATACCAAACGCGTAGTATCTCACTATCTATTCAAGGGAGAATATGTCGTTTTTGAAGATCTTCATCTCGATTGCATCGTCTTGAAGGTTGTGACAATCGTAATGTCTCATCCCATAGGTCAGTAAATGAAGGCTCTTGAGTCGAATCCATTGGTTGTTGGTTCTCCATCTCTTGAATGTCACAACTACAAAGAAGCTACAAACAAGGATTGAAAGTAAAATGTTATCTTGCCTAAATGTTGTTTCTTTTATAAAGAAGATTTTTATCTTGATTTTGATGGATGTCATCGATGAAAAGCCTCTACCGCCTTTGTCGCATTTGCAAGATTTTTTACTAGCTCCCATGTGCATTCACTAATATCATATCCATGCCAATGGACAAGATATTTCAATTTATCTCGGCGTCACCTTGAATCTAATACTTCTTCCACTTCAAACTCTTCATTATTGTTCACTTCTATAGGAGGAGGTAGAGTTTATCTTCTTCTTGGTATGTCCACTATCTTGTATGGTTCAAGAAGAGACAGGTGGAATATTGGATGGATTTTTATTGACTTCGGTAGATGTAAACGATATGCAACTGGATTAATTTGTGCAGAAATAGAAAATGGTCCAAACCTTTGATAGTCCAACTTGTCACGAAGATGAGTGGTCTTGATATTACGACGAAGTAATCATACCTTATCACCCATGTGGAATGGTGGTTGTTCCTTTCAATAGAAATCCGCATTGACCTTTTGTTGTTCTTGAACTTCTTTTAACTGCACCTTCATCGTTACATGTAGCTCTGACAAATGAATTGCCAAATCTTTCACAACAAGATTATCAAATTTTGAAAAGTCAAAAGTATCAAGTCGTGGATGATAACCATAATTAGCAAAGAAAGGTGTTTGTTATATAGAACAATGTACCGTGTTATTATAAGAAAACTTTGCCAATGGCAAAAGAGTTATCAAATTATCTTGTTGGTACTTAATGGTACATCTTAAATACTACTCCAAAACTTGAATAATACGCTCCATTTGTCTATCAGTTTGAGGATGGAATGTTGAAGATAGTTTTATATCCACTTTTAAAATCTTGAAAAGAGTCCGCCAAAATCTTGATACAAATTGAGTTCCTCTATCTGATATAATATCCTTGGGTAATCCATGATAGCGATAGATATTGTCAAGAAAGA